TACAAGTTTAGTTCTTACAAGGTGGGTTAAGCATTAGGCCGCTAACCACTTGGTTGGCAGTTCTAACCCACCAGATGCTTCATGGGAGAAAGATGAGGCTGTCGGCCCCTGTGAAAATTGGGAAACCTATGAAACAGTTTGCATCTTTCTATGGGGTCACTGTGAGTCCGAATTCACTTGACAAATGTGGATTTGGGCACCTAATATGAAGTCACACATCTACTAATTGCAATGTTATGCAAAGCATAATGCCTGAATAGGGTCTCTTTTTGAGATGTAGGACTTATTTTCCCCAAGAAAGATTTATAGATAGATATTAGAAAATAGGAATATCATTAAAAATCTCCTGCAGGATTGTCTGACAGTTCTCAAATAGAGGGAGTCCATATCATGTGTGCTGTAAAGAAAGAAATCCTGGCTCCGGCACTCAATGTGGTGTTTGACCTGCAAACACAGCCTCCTCAGGTTCCAGTGCCCTTGTTTATTGGAAGAAGTGTTTGGACAAAAGCTTTCCAGCCGTTTCCAAGTAAGCGTCTCTTGTTGACAGTTTCCTGAAGAAGCAGGAGGCTCCTCTTGTCCCTCCTTCTACCCGGTACTTGTCAGATGACAGTTACAATAGAATCCTTCTTCTTTTTGCCAGGCCTGCCAGCTTTTCCCAAGGGCGGCCTTGGGCTCTTGGGAGCTCTGTAAGAATGCCTGTGGCCCCTAACTTAAACCTTCCCCTTGTCTGGAAGCTGTGCCTCCTTTATCTCTGGGAAGCCTGACCGGGACCACCACCGACGCAGCCCAGAGACAGCGAAAACAAGAGCTGGCTTGGGAATGGAGGGAGTCATGCCCGCTTTCGATGTTGTTTGTCCCATACGTGGATAATTGTTACTCTGGACAAATAACTAGCCCAGAACTGTCTGTGGTGTCAAAGGGCAGCAGAAGGAAAGAGCCCAGCAGCTCCCTTGTCTCCAACAAAAACAGGACAAAGATCAAAGACTCGCTGGCCACTGTGATTTATGAAGTCAGCATGCAGGGAGCTGAGCAGACAGTCTTGGCCCTGTCCTGGGAGGGACACACTGGCCCAAGGTCAGGGTGTGCTCCAGCTAGCAGTCTGGAACATGGATTGTGGGGGTGGTGGGGGTGGGGGGAGACAGGCAGGGCTGATGAGGGAGTTGTAATTTTCCTTTGATTTGTGGGAGATTATCGTTTCTGGCTTCCTGGGGAAAGAGTGCGAAGTTCATGCTGCCTCTCCTGCGGTGTTGCACAACTGGGAAGAAAGCCAGAAGCAGCGGCTGCTTCCAGTGACACAACCGCAAAGCCCAGGAAGACCCACCCAAAGCGTCACACATCCCTCCCCACGCCCACTGCCGATGAGCCCATTCTGATTCCCTCGGACCCTATCTGTCTAGGGCTCCCAAGGCTGCAACTCTTTACAGGAGTGGGCAGCCCTTGAGATCTGTCTCTTAAGGGCAGCTGGTGGACTTGGGTCTCCAACCTTGTGCTTATCAGCCCAGCACTTACCCTGTAGCACCCAAGGGCCCCTAACCAAAAACTTAACTGCTGCAAAATAAAGGTTGACATTGAAAACTCTGACCGGCAGTTGCTTTCATAGGAGTCGTCATACGGTTTGCATGTCCAAGAAGTACATACCGTTAGTTTGAGAAGGGCCCAGGGAGATAGTCCTTATAGATCTACTAAGGTCTGCTCAGAATGGTTTATACAGCACCAACATTTCTAACATCCCCGAAATATTGGACAACTTGATAAACAAGTTTACCTCCTGCGGGTAAGAAAACAAAAACAGAAAATATAGTAGGCTTTACAGAGTTTCCTTGGTTCTCCTGTCAGGCCAGCCCTCACCTCAACATCTGCTTTGGGCCTAGATTCTCTCCCCTGCCAGGAAAAACTCTCTCTCTCTCTCTCTCTCTCTCTCTCTCTCTGTTACAGAGCCCTGAGGCACTGCCTCTTCTAGAGAGGCTGAAGTCCAGGGCTCCTGGGAACTGAGTGGTGACTACACAGCTGGGACAAACAGACGTATGAAAGACTCTTTTGCGAAGAAAGTGGGTGGTGTGCAGGACAGCTGGGCGAATCTTGATACAGAGTTTTCTCCCATCTGGGTCCGAGTTAATTCACGTACGATTGCTAAGGAGACAGAATGTTTTCCCTGCCCTAAGCACAGCTTTGCACCCAGCGGGAACAGTGGACTATTTCATCGTCAGCTTTATTGACTGTGGGATTCCGTGAACCCAGGCTCTCCAAAGTGCTTGCCTCAGAAAGCAAAAACTACCCCGTGAGGATCATCTAAAAAAGGAAGAAAGAAAGAAACCAATTCCCCTGGTCTTAAGTCAATGCCAACGCATAGCCGCCGTAGCTAGCGTTTCTGACATCGTATATCTTTGCGAAAGCACAGAGCCTTATCTTTCTCCCCCAGACTGGCTGCTGGGCTTGAACTGTCGCCCTTGCAGTAACAGATGAATGCCTAACTCACAGGCCACCAAGGATAGCACAGTTGAATTCTTTATTACCCTAGGGAAACATGACTGTACATTCTTTCACACGAAACATACTGTAAGAGCGATATGGGGGTGGTGTCTGGTCTCCTTTAACTTAAAGAAGAATCACCAGGCCAAGGCCCACTCACTTCCCAGGAAAGGAAGTGCGACCAAAGGCCCCTGCTCATGGGATCCACTCATGTTAGCATGTCCCCCATCATCCTGAAGGAGCTGGCTTGACAGACTGAGAGAAGGGACTTCCAGGGACACAGTTACGGCCCAGCCTTGTTGGCACCATTTTGCAAGGTCGGGGCGATGTTCTCCAGGAGGCTGTATATGCTCTAAACTAGCATCTAATACACGGCACGGTTTCTCCAGTAGCCAGATACATTTGCAGAGTCCCCACAGGGATTAAATCTCTGACAAATCCCCTCTGCCCATGGGCCAGGATGTAACAGCCTTGCTATCAGACAGAGTGCATCAAAAAGTGGTCTAATGCACATTAGATTAAAATTTAGCACCTTATATTTTATTTTTTCTTTTGACCCATTTAAAATTTGCTCTAGTCTTTTTTTCCCCAGCAGTTTTATTTTCAAGTAATTTGCACATCATACAATTCCATAGTTCAATCACTCAATCTTATCACAGAGACTTAGACAATCAGCCCTACATTAATTTTAGAACACTGCCCCTCTCTCATGGTCACATGGCCCCTAAGATGATGCATGGGATCACAATCCATTCCAGTGCTCCCTCCTGACTCCCATCTTCATTAGCTACTCCCGAAATCCCCGTTCACTCCCTATCTCCCCACCCCCACCCTGTATCCCTTTGTATCCATTATTATCATTATGCCTCCACTCCTCCTGTGCTTCACAGCTGGCAGACCACACAGAAAACAATAGAAAGCAAAATCGCTCTAAGTGGTAAGGGTAGAAACATAGTAGGACACAGACAGAAATGCCAATAATGAGCAAGAAGGAAAAGGCCCCCATCAGCTTTCAAAAGACAAGGGAGGACATTTCTGTCATGGAACCAGTAGAACAAATTCAGGTCAAGTCTAGAGGGTGGTCAACTGGCCAAGCGTCAACTGAGATCTAGCACGATCAAGATCACAGTGGTCTCTGCCTGACAGGCAGGCCGGTCGAGACTCTTGCCTGTGGCTAGAGCGGATCTGACAGCGGCTCAGGCTCACCAGAAGTCTCTGCAGATGGGTTTGGGTTCTCACCGTCCCCCATGGTCCTCCACAAATTGGGTGTTCGTCATTCTTGCTCTCATGCTTTTCTCCTCACCGTATTCGAGCTATGTGATTGTCACCTTTGGATCACCCAAGCTGCTGTGCTGCTTCCCTGTGGACTTATTTGTAACATTTGTTCTAGTTTTTATTATTTTCTGTTATTCTTTCTTTTGTGTTTTTTTTTTAACATTTTATTAGGGGCTCATACAACTGTTATCCCAATCCATACACACATCAATTGTGTAAAGCGCATTTGTACATCGTTTCTCAAAACATTTTCTCTCCATTTAAACCCCCGACATTAGGTCCTCATTTTCTTTCATTTGAGGGTTGTCTGTCTTCTTTTGTTATTACTGTTGGGTTTTCTATGTATGTTTATAAAACATATACTATACATATGTTTATATATCTCCGTACATATATCTTTATATGAAATCCAGATGGGCAAGTCTACAGAGACCGTAACTAAACTAGTGGTTTCTCAGAGTTGTGGCAGGGGAGGTTGAGGATAAATGAGAAGCTAATAATGAGTAGAAGAAAGAAGAAAATGTTCTTAAATGGATTGTGGTGCTGATTGCACAATTCTCTTAAATATGGTTAAATTATTGAATTGTGTGATATGTGAGTTACATGTCAAATTGTTAAACAAGCAGGACAGGTACAGATGAGAACGATGCGTGGAGACTTCCTAAGTCTTTCCATCTGGGCGCTGCAGAGGTTGAGGCAGAGAAGGCGATACTGAGTTACGAGTCCCGGACAAAACCCAGGTGCTCAATGAATGGGGTGGGAATAAAATGGAATCGTGAAGCTAGTAGGAGACCAAGAGTTGGCCTCCCAAATCCTTTGGCAACTGAGATTGAAGTCTAGAGAGGTCATATGGCCAGTTATTGATGGAGTGAGAGTGGGGTCTAAGGTCTGCATGCTCCTGGTCCCCTCTCATTATCCCGTTATGTCTGGTCTTATATTCAGCCTCCACACTCTCAAGCCAGCAATGCTCACCAGCTTAATTTTCGGTCTCATGAGTCTTCCTTTCTACCACTTACTTCGACATGCCTGAGTCAAGGCCTAACTCCCCAAAGGACGAGGACGCTTTTGTTTTCCTTAAATTACCTTTCTTATGAATTGGCTAGAAACAATATGTACTCGTACAGCTAATTGTTCTGATTCCATTTCAGGCCCGTACAAAACTATCTTGTTACACTCCATTGTAACGCTTACCTTTAGAATGGTTGATGAAAAATAATGGCCTCTTCTCCCGCTCTCCGTTTCTCCGCCATCCTGAGTGTGGTGGTTCCCCGACTTCACCGTGTCGTCTCATAAGACTTCCAGGATCAAGAGATTCCCGGCCAAGAAACAGAAGCAGAATCAGCCCATTCCCCAGTGGATTCGAATGAAAACCGGCAATAAGATCAGGTACAACTCCAGCAGAAGACATTGGAGAAGAACCAAGCTGGGTCTGTCAGGAGCCCCCTGAGGGATGGCACGCACGCCGCATTTGCCCAGGAGCACATCATGTTGAGTTGCATTAAGCCTTTGGCCCCCATCTGATCAATTGAACTTGTACAGGCAAACGTTCTGGTTTCTTCCTTGGTTTTTATGCTTCCACATCAAGTTTTACAATAAATAATGTAAGGCTGTTGGTTTGAAATAATATATATTTCAATATATATATTGAATATTCAATATAAGAAATATATATATATTTCCTTCCACAAGAGGGCAACAAAGAGCTTTCCCCAGAAGCAGTCTCTGGGGCATCTTTGAGGTCTATCCCAGCTACACTCATCGCTACCATCAGTCAATCACAACGCATACCCACCCTACAGGGCAAGGGAGAACTGCTCCTTGGGGTTTATGAGACTAACTCTTCACAGGAGTAGAAAGCCCTGTCTGTCTCCCAGCAGGTGGTTTCAAACTGCTGACCTTCGGTTAGCTGCCCAACGTGCAAACACCCTGCAGCCAGAGCTGCTTCCCAGGTACAAGGGTAGCCAAAGCCACCTGCTCCTACCCCATCCCCACAGACATACACAGTGACTAACCGAAAAACCAAGCTCACTGCCATGGATCGAGTCGAATTCCGACTCACAGTGACCTTACTGACAGTAGAACTGCCCGTGTGGGTTTCCAAAAGGGTAAATCTTCCCAGGAGTAAACCCCCTCCTCGACTAAAATCTGATATCGGTTGTGTTTAATGTTAAGAACTTTTCTTAGGCATCATTAAGGAAAAAAAAATTTGTTTTAGGGTGTACATGGGAAGAACCCCTAGGAGCCATGGTATAACGGTTAAGTGCTCAGTTACGAGCCATGAGGTTGGTGGTTCGCGTACCTGCAGGAGATGCGAAGGCGAACTCCTGGGAAGATGAGCCTAGGAAACCCTGCAGAGCTGTTCTGCTCGGGCACCCTGGTGTGAGCAGACCGTACACCTGATCACAAAACAACACGGGAAACGCAGGGCTCATAGGGTTCGCTCTGCTTCATTCAGAGTCTACAGTTCCACTGCAGCAGCACCCCAGGTGAACCCTAAACTAATCCAACAAAACCCAATGCTGACTCTGACGCCTCTCAAAACTCAAATGCAAATCAAAACTACGAGATACCACCTGACACCCACAAGGATAGCCAAATGCAACAAACAAAACAGACGGCAACAAATGTGTGGTGAGATAGGAACCCTCATTCACTGCTGGCGGCCTGTAACACGTACAGCCACTGTAGAAAACGATTTGGCGGTGCCTAAAGCAGGTGGAAATCGAGCTACCATAAGACCCAGCTGTTCCACTATTGGGCGTACACCCAGAAGAAATAAAAAACAGGCCAAGGCCAGACATCTGTGCTCCAATGTTCATCGCTGCACAGTTTACAATCACAAAAAATTGGAAACTGTCTATATTTCCATCAATTGATAAATGGATTAAAACAACAAATACTGGCATATGCACAAAAAGGAATACTACGCTCCCCTAAAAATACTGGCAAAACGATGAAGCACCTCATCTCAGGGAAAGAGTCGGAGGATATTATGCTGAGTGAAGTCAGCCACGTACAAAATGTCAAGTACAACACGAGTCCACTGAGGTAAGTCCAAACGGCAGAACGGGCACACGGGAAAATGCACACAACACACAGATCCCAGGCGGAGAACCGGATATCCCGGCATGAGCCAGACCAAAGCCAATGATTCATACATCAGAAACAGATGCAGACGGCACCTGTGCTGAAAGGCATCCTTTCCCACCTCTCACACGCCTTTAAGCCCACAGAGGGGCGAGGGAGAAAAATGACAGCAATGGGAGGTCAGGGCACTAACCCACCCGAAGGAAGGGTATTATTCATATCCCACAGGAAAGGGAGGGCCAGAGTAGACCTCATCCCAGTGTGCTAATCCTTGAGGGCAATGTTCCTGCTCAGGGCAGTGCCTTCCCAGAGATGACTGGAGGACCTGCCTCCGCTTGAGACGTGAAGCCCTCTCCTTAAATAGCAGCACTGCAGCAGACAGCCCTGAAGATACAGTTTGGGCAGGGCAGTTGGTCTGACATGCACACAGGGGCAAATCAAGAGGGGAGTGCAACAGATCAGTGATCGGAGAAAAGCTACAAAGCTCCCGGGGGAATCCCGATTGTAGACTTCTGGCTTGGAGGGTGGGGGCAGCACTTGGCATCCCATCTGCACGGGTTGGGGGTTAGTCACAAGGGGGCCACATTGAAAGTCTAAAGGCATAAATGGGGGGGGGGGGTTTGGGGGCCTGGAACATTCCATCCCTGACTGCTGAAATAGCGATGGGGACGCTTAGGATGCACGCCTAGGGGACATGAATGCTGAAAACTAAAAGGGTGTATGTGTTCTTAAGTAAGCGGGCCCTGGGATATGTAACCCTGAACTAAATGGGGACTGGACTGATGGCTTATAACATCTCCTTCTCTCTATTTAACAGAGAGATACTCATCTACTCAATGTCAGGATCCCTGTTAGACTTATGACTACCTCTATGTTTATTTATTTATTCTTTTTGTTGTTTATCTATGCAAGATAGGTAGGATAGGCAATCTTACTGAGACAGCAACTGGTCCGATGGTTCCTAGGGCCCATGGGAGTGGAGGCAGAGGAGATGTGAGCGGTGATTCAATAATGACAGGTACAGGGAATAGTAAGTGTTCTAAAATTGAGGAGGAGGAAGGTGTAGCTTTTCTGGTTGAGTTTAATCAATCGAATTGTATCTGAGAGGAATTACTAAGAGGTGAGTGATGGATAAACATAATTGTAGGGTAGGAGGAAAGAAAAGAAAAAAAATATATATGTGTGTGTATTTGTTTATATATGTATATATATGCAAATGGAACAAGGAAGCAGATGGACTTTGAGCCTCTACTTAAATCTTTCCTCAGTTAAACAATGGTCTTAAGTATCAAGGTAGCAGATGGACATTGGGCCACTACACAAGTACTCCCTCAATGAAAGAACACTTTGTTCTAATAACTTGGCATTCCATGATGCTCACTTTCCCCACACAATCGCTGAAGACAAAATGGGTGAATAGCAAATGTGGTGAAGAAAGCTGATGGTATCTGGCTATCAAAAGGTATAGCGTCTAGAGTCTTAAAGGCTTGAAGATAAACAAGTGGCCATCTAGCTCAGAAGCAACAAAGCCCTCATGGAAGAAGCACATCAGCCTGTGTGATCATGAGGTGTCAATGGGATCAGGTATCAGGCATCAAAGACCAAGAAATCATATCATTGTGAATGAGGGGGAGTGCAGAGTGGGGACTCAAAGCCCATTTGTAGGCAATTAGACATCATCCCCTTACAGAAGGGTCGTGGGGAGGAGACGAGCCAGTCAGGGTGCAGTGTAGCAA